ATACTGAATTTACCACAACCAAAAACATGTATAATCTACATCACATTGCCACACTAAATTGAAATTTTCTAAAATTTTCTACCCCCTAAAGCAATCAAAGTCTAGATACTAGTGGCTAGTTGCAGATGCACAAATAGCATAAACAACAAATTATACAGAGATAACAGAGAAGTGGAATCATTTTGATCAATACGCCCATTTGAGTGTTCAGTATAATTTAAACTTAAGAATAAAACAAAGACAATTGAAGTTAAGACAACTGGGAAAACCCGACGGATGAGCAGCTTATTCCACACATCTGGTTTGGTAAGGGTTAGGGTTAGGGAAATGGGATTGGTAGGTTTGGTAATATGAAGAGCTCATGTCGCTTTGCTGCATCTTCAAAATTCCTCGATTGGTTTACGGAGAGAGAGAGAGAGAGAGGGGGAAGCTTCGTCCATTTTTATAGCTTCGGCCAAAGACGAACGAAGCCAGATCTAAACCTATTATCTAAACACACCCTTAGGGATCACAATGATTACTCTTGTATGAATAAGGGTAAGCCAATACAATACTGCCCTTTAGAGTAATGAGCACAAGGTAAGTATACTTGGCAAAGGTTAATTTACCTTTATCTAGACCCCGAAGCGGGGGAGAGAGAGGGCCTCAATCTTAGTTGATTGACCTAAATTCAAAGCTTCAGGTGGCCCAACGCTTTACATAAACCCCAATTCTTAGTCCAGCTTCGCAGGGACAGATAGATTCGAAAATTAAACAAAAATGGCGTCACAGCGATGTTCTCAAAATCTTCTATTCTCCAGACAAAATGCAAAATAGAAGCCCGCCTCCGATCCGGGAAAATCAAAATTCTCATACGACATCCAAAATCAAAATAAAAATGGGGATTGAATGCGATGAAGGTATGATATCCTTTTTGTTTTATGAGAGGAAAATAGGGAGTTGTCAATATTCGTTTTAAGAGTCGAGCATGAAGCAACCTACCAAAGATTACATTCAATAAGTATCTTATCTTGTTTATTATAAGGAGTTACTATAAGAAACTAATTAAGAACCTAATTCAATATAGTCATTGAATTAGTTATGACATGTGATTATCAATGTTAGATGGAACACATTTTTAATCTAATAGTTATATTAAATTAAAATTTTAAATTAGGTTTAAATAACATTTTTTTTATTATAAGATTTCAAGACAATTTGTCTTTTGTTTAATGAAAAAAAATGCTAAATATTTGAGTTTCTCCGTTAAATATGAGTCAATATTTTTGAAAAAAAAATTCTATTCTATCTCTTTCAGCAAAATTTAGATGTACAATACAAAATCCACAAGAATCTTTGTAAAAAATTATTTCGAATAAAATAATAAAGAACATGATTACGGTACCCAAATTTTTTTTTTTTTTTGGTTATGTACTTCAAAAATTTACTATTTTAATTAGTCTTTTTATAACTCTGGTGGGTTATTTATAATAAAAAAATTTATTATGTTTATGTATGATTTACTATTTTGTGGGCGTTTTCACCTCTACTACAAGGTTTTACTGTTATAATTATTTTTATTACTTTTTTTTGGTACAAAAAAAAATTGCCATTTTAGTAGGTGATTTATCACGTTTGTGATAATTATTTTTATCACTTTTATTTGTTACCACAATAGTAGTAAAATACTAATGTTATATTGACCAAATTTTGGAACTAAATTTAGAACTCAAAAGACGTGACAGTTGACTTGAATTTCTTTGATTAGTGTCATGTCATTTGGGCCCCAATAAAAATTTCAAATAATCAACTGTCATGTCATTTGAGCTCTAAATTTGATCCCAAAATTTGATCAATGTAAAATTACTCGTAATAAAAATACCTGTAAATGTGATAAATGTCGGTGCAGTAACAATTTTTTTTTCCCGGTATCGTAGACAACTCCAATGATAAATGAATATATTATTCAACATGTTTTTTTTTTGGTAAATTATTATAGATCATGTTACTTAGAGTTGGTGCAGGTTTATTCGAATATACGGAATAACCCTCCAAACGACCCTGGCAGCACTATATTTGGCATCATTTTTGCAATGTCAAGGGATCAATTTTTAACTACAATGTTATTTTGGAATTATTTAAGATTCCGCTTTTAAGGTCTTCCTTTTTGAAAAATAGTTTGATTCCTTAAAGTTAGCATGTGGTAGTTGGTACTGTCCACAATCTGGCCCCACCCAAAACATATATTGAGTATCTGCAAGGCTTTTGTGACAGTGTCACTGCCCAATATTAAGATCCATTTATAATCTAATAGCTATAGACAAAGGCATACATTATTTTATATAGTAATTTTTTTTAATTATGTAATTTAAAATTAAAGTTGATGATACCTCAAACAAGCCCTAATTGTGAAGTCAGATCAGGAGGTCGAAAAAGACACGAGGAACTCAGAGAACCAGTAGTGAAGTTCCCCTTGGGGAGAGATTGTAGCTGAACCGACCAGGAAACAGTCGGGTGACTGCGAAAATTAAGTTTCATGCATGAAACTCTCAACCAACCAAGATTCTCTCTTAAAATCAAGGAGGATCCCATGAATAATGGACAAAGATCTTGATCGAAATCCCACGGAATAGGTGGCAGTCTTATAAATATTATGCAACGCCTCATCGTGAGGCACACAAAGAGAAAAAAAAAAGAGAAAAACCCTAATCAGTTTAGTACGATCTTATATTACATTCAACTAATAAATAGAGAAGAGAAAGGAGCAAGAACCTCCATTGAAGAGTGGATTAGTCGAGCTTTTGAACCGGTGAACCACTATATTTTCACTGTGTACACCCCTTTAATTCCGTCAATATTTTATTGCAGCATCATACATGAGCCTTGTAACTCTGATCCACGCACATCTCACGTTACGTGCACTTTTTACTCATCCACGTTGATTTACGCCATCAAAAATGAAAAAAAAAAGAAAATAAAATAGAAGTATGGGTAAATTAGCGGGGTTGTGTTGACATTAAGAATCATGCATAGAATATAATGATTTGAACCCAAAAAAAAATGATATAAATTTTATGTCATGAAATCAAAATAAAAAAAAATTAAATAAATCTTAAAATTTGTACCATATTGCGACAAAGACACCGATAAATAAAGAAAGAAAGAAACAACCAATGATGTCTTTCACTAATGAAAGGGACACTTGAGCAACCAGAGAACCGAAATTTTGAAATATAGATGAAAGAGTGAAATTGAAATTCAAAACTTACACCACACAGAACGCACTAAACGGAACAAAATACAGACGTAGATGGTAAACTCAACAGCAGTTAGGTGTTGCACCTAATTGCAACCATTTTTTTTCTTTCAGAATGCAATATAACAAATTTTATTTTTTAGGGTACAAAAATAAGAATTTAAGGGTATGTTTGATTTGCATCTCAAAAAATAGTATCCAAAGACTATTTTTAAAAATTTTTAGATTACAAAATCTGTTTGGTTATATATTTTTGAAAATTATTTTAAAAAATAAAAATTATAAAATTTGTTTGGACAATAATCACAATTCCTACATCTCTTCAACTCTTTGTCTCTCTCTCTTTCACTGTGTATCATAACCGAGAACCACCATCAACCCAACACTAACAACCACCACCAACCCAACAACCACCATTAACTCAAACCGAGAACCACCAAGACCACCACCCAAATCAAGAATCACTTAACAACCACCACCAACCCACACTGAGAACCACCCAATACCCACAACCACCATCACCACGGAAACCGAGAATCACCCAACACCCACAACCACCACCACCACTAAAGGATTTGTGCTTCTAATCGTCGGATCTGTGCTTTCAGTCACCGATCTATAGGTTGAAGACACATCCATGGTGTCGACACAAGAAAAAGAGAGGTCAGAGAGAGAGAGAGAGGTGAGGGAAAAAAGTTTTTATATTGGTACAATAAGTGTATAGTAAATAGGATATTTTTCGTGTTTTCATAATTTTCACAATAAAACCTAGAAAATAAGTCGACTTATTTTCTGTTTTTGTGTTGTAAATCTTATTTTTTTCAAAATTTTGAGAAAAAAATGTTAAACAAACAAGTTTTAAGTGTTTTTAAAATTTTGAAAACAAAAAACTATTTTGCAGATGATAATCAAATAGAATCTAACATTCTTTTAAGGTGCAAAATGAAATTTGTCCAACTGATAATATTACCTAAGATATTTACCACAAAACGAAAGGTGTTTATTAAAGGACCAATCAGAACAGCCAAAAACATCTGTAACTATATGTTAACAGGAAAATTTTTGGCTGAAGAAAAATCTTAAAAATAGAATATAAAATAATATTATTCTTAAATTCATAGAAATTGAATGTTTTATCATTATCCGTCTAGGTACAATTTCCCTATCACCTTATCTTTTTCTCCCCCGAGACTTTCGTTAAATACAACATCCATCTTAACTTGGTCGTTACGAAATCATCCAAGCCCATTATCGTCATTTCACAACTATCTCCACTTTTATATGTATTCTTCCATCTTCCTCTTCATTGCTTTCTTCTTCATCCTCTGGGTTGCAGAACTGGTCAAATTCTCTTTCCTTCTTCTCTCGTCCCTCTGAATCGTCAAATTCCCATTTCTTCGTCCCCAGAAACTGGAATCGAGTCATTCAAGTCTGCAAGAATTTTTTCTATGTTCTTATCGATAAGTAAATACAAATAGGAAGGATTGTTCTAATTTATGCGACGTTAGGGCTTCCAAATTTCCCGAATTTGTGGAATTTGGATATGTTCTGTTGAAAAATATTGAGTTCGTTAGTAAGGTTACAAAGTTTGAGGTCAATTTGTATGATTTAGTGCAGTTGTTGCTGTCGAATTACCCAATTTCGCGAAGTTAGGTTGTGGTGATTGTCTTATAAGGGGAAAAATGGTGATTTTTGAAAATTTGATGGTTTTGGAGGTAATTTGATCGGCGAAGAGTGGTGGGTGCGGATGGATTGTAGAATTTGTATGGCCACGGGGGACTTGTGGATGAGACTGGGCGGCGTTGGTGGTGGGGTGGGTGACATTGGAGGTGGGTTTAGCCACGAGAGTGAGCATGACTTGGCGGTTATGGTTAGTGATTTCTTGGAAAATGGAAGTAGTGGTGGGACAGAGTCAAGGTGGAGTAGCGACAGCGATTCTGGGTTCTGCGATCTTGCTCACCTTGCTGACAAGATATCTGTTAGTTTTGCTCTCTCTACAATTTTTTATATTTCACATTTGATGGAAATGCAAATATTTTCATGCTATTCTGTTTGTTGTCCTTATTAAAAAAAATCTGAATTTTTTGGCAATTCGTGTTGTTTATGAGTTGTGATGTTTTGGGATTTGATTTGATGACTTGAGTGCAGCAATCGATTTTCATTTTTCAAACTTTGAAAACAAGGATTGAGACGACATTAGGTTTGGGAATTAAAATCAAACAGAGCCTGTATGTTTAAAAAACCTTGCTTTAGATGGACTCTAGTGTGTCAGTTTGTTTGAATTGATGAAGTCTGTATGTTATTGTATTTCCGTCGTGCTGTGCCAGTAGATTAGATAAATGTTGCACAGTTCTATATCTTTTATCAAAGACAATATGACTATTGATTTGTTTACAAGTCTTCACATAAGCTTTTTATCTGTCATTGTGCAGTATTACAAGAAGTCAGTGGATCAGTATGTGAGCGATTTGCTATCAGTTGTTAATTCTCTTATGCTATCTATTAAAGGCATTGATCTTCACACTGTCAAGTCAGGACCGTGCAATGCTAGTTGCATCAGGTTTTCTCTGGTAAAGCTTCTGAGGTTTTCTGGTTTTGATGCTGCTGTATGCGCATCCAAGTGGCAGGGTAGTGGTAAGGTTCCTGGAGGTATGCCATCAGCTTCCTTGAGCTTCAATTGCATGTTCTGTGTTAGGTTTATAGATAATAAGAGTGCAAAAATATGTAACTTCTCACCAAGATGGGGAAAAGAAAAACTTCAATAAGTTGTTGAAAGCTTTAGAGCCATGGCTGCACCGCTCTTCATCTGTCACATACTCTTACATATCGTTGATAGAATGCAATAACTAGTGTTTTCATCTGATGATCGTCACAAGTTTATAAGCAATTATTGGACAATAAAAATTTATTACATCAAATTTGTTCTGGAAGGGTGGCATATCTTAGCAGACTAATAGTGTTGTGGTAGGCTCAAACTATTGGGGGCATATGCAAAAGCAGAGTAGTTGTAGCAGATTTCCTCATCTTATCTTGCATTTATAGATCTGACGTTTGGACTGGCTTGCGGGCCCTGTCCAGGGAACTCTCTCCCTCTCACACTGTCTTGAGGAGAAAATTAGCTTGTGCTTTTTTGATCTGATAACTAGTGCTATCATGCAGGGGATCACGAGTACATAGATGTGGTGAATTACAATGATACTGGGAGCTCTGAGCGTTTCATCATTGATATCGACTTTCGGAGCCACTTTGAAATAGCCAGAGCTGTTCATACGTATGATTATATATTGAATTCCCTTCCAGTTGTTTACGTAGGATCCTTGACGAAGCTGAACCAGTTCCTTCAAGTCATGGTTGAAGCTGCCAGATCTTCTCTCAAGCAGAACTCAATGCCCCTTCCTCCATGGAGATCTCTCGCTTATTTGCAAGCTAAGTGGCAGGCACCCTACAACAGAAAGTTTAAGCCTGATGAACAGGATGTTAACAGCACGAGTCCTGAGCATAAGCAGTGCAGTGGACGTTTAAAGCGCCTGCAATCTTTGATCTAATCTGAAATTGAAGTAGAGCGAATGTTAAACCCCATAAACAATGACAAAAATCGGAGGTGGAAATTTCTGTGGCAGAAGCATCCTTCACTCAGGACTCCTTGAGGCGCACAGAATCTTGTTGGGACATGAAATGCACGTTCATGGGCACCATTGATGTAAGGGCCAACCTTTTGAAAAAACCCCGAACATCAAATAAGTTCTGTATCAGAAAGGCAGACAGGTTCATATAGTGACATGAGTAATAACACACCATGCTAGGGAGGGGATGTTTTTTTTTCCCGTCTCATGTTGTGCCGTTTAGACTTTGTTCTTTCTGTATCTTTTGCACCAGAAAATCAAGAAGGGTCAGGTTGCCACTGGTTCTCTTTATCTTCCACAGCTTTGGATCCTAACCGGTTCGTACTTGCTTGATCCTGGAGTATCATTACATAGGTTGTCTTTTTTTTTTTTCTGTTTCCTCACTGTATTTCCAAAATGTATTCCTTGTTTCTCTGTTATGTGGCTTAGGATACTTGCTTCATTTTCCCCCCTCTTGGTAGGGGGTTTCTTTCAAATGCTAACACATAGAAGGCATTTTTTTTTTTTTTTGGGTTTCGTTGAACTATTAAGAGTTTCATCACTTTCCAGCAGTCAAAAGGCTGCTTGAACATCGTTGTATTTTTTTTCAATGCATCAATAGAGTTGCTTTTTGTAGTGTTCAGATGCTAATCTTCTCTCTCTCCTCCTTGTAACATTTTAATTAATCTTTTGGTTAAGTAAAGTAAAGATTTTTGGATCCAGTGTCGTTTTTGTCTGTTCTTTCCTTCTTTAGGTTGTATATGATGTTTACTTGCCAAAAAAGAAAGATTGTATATGATGTTCGAAACTTCCGATACTACTCATATGCTTTTCATAGTGTATGTCACCAGCATTGCATCAAACACAATCCACGGTCAGATGGGACCTTATATTCTGCTTGATATGCCCTCTATTGATAGGGGACATTATCTGATTCATCATGAAACAACAATGTAGGCATAGAAAGTTTGAAGGGAAAACTGTTGTTACTCGTTGGCCAGATAATTCAGTTTCCACCCGAAAGCCTCACGTCACTGTAAGATGCGAATTACCATGTTTGGATCATAACAAGTTGGAGTGTAATGGTGAACAAGGGCCGTGATAAAGATAATTATATACTTTCATGGTTTTTTTCTTCCACAGAGAGAGAGACAAAGATACCATTTATGGTTTTTTTACCAGGTATCTCATCTTCTGACGCTATCGCCATCAAACGCAAGTGTTCATCTTGATGAAGAGGTGGTGGTTGTATTCGTTCATGCTTTTAGCAGTGGATTTGCACTCTAATAAATGAGGGAAAATTTATGGTTAATACCAATTAGTTAGCTTCTGTTACTCGACTGACCACTTGGCCACATAGGAGCTTAGCTGAATTCGAGAGCCAAAACATTAGACACTCAATATTGTTATTTCGATTCAACTTCTTTATATAATGTGCTGATCTAATTTATTGTTATTGTTAGATTTTTTTCCGGTAAGTGTTAATGGTCGATTAATACTGAATCAGATATGGATTTTTATCAGATATCTATGCAATTGAGATTGAAGCTTGATGATTCAAGGGGGAAGAGGAGGCGGAGGAGGGCAGGGGAGGGGTGGCGTGTTTTTCTTTTTCTTTTTCTGTTCTTTTTGTTGGGGCGGGGTGGGGAATGAAAGTGTAATGGCATTCTATTTAAAATGACTCTGGCTAATGTCTTAATAAAACATGAACCCCTTTTAACACTGATCACAATAGTAATACATTGGTCTATGACCTAAAGGAGTACTAAGCAATAACCTTGTCGAGATCGAGAGAGAGAACGTCGCCACAATACAAGGCTCTTATCTAATAACATGGTCTACGAAAGATAGGTAATATGTAAGTTTACTCTTATTTTAGCGATATAGATTCACAAATTTAAATCTGTAACATATCACTTAGGCAGATGAATACTTGTAATAACTCGAAATTTAACCTTGAAATTGAAAATATTATTTTAAAATTAAAATTTTAATATAACACCAACACTTTCAAAATCCGAACTTCTTATAACAAGTCCTCATCATTGCAAATTAAGCCAAAGTAATAACATAAAAGAAAGAAAAAGAAAAAGAACAAGACAAGAAAGAAGAAGGGCATCAAGACTGGGGAACAAAAGGATCGATAAAAGCATTGTACATTGGATCAGCAAGCCAAAGCCTAGAAAGATGGTGAGCAGAGGCACTGGTCCTGTGAATTTCTTCAATAAACCAAATGGTGGTTTCAGCTTTTCAAGGATAAATGATGTTGTCCATGGGCTTGTACTCATCCTCTGTGTCAATCCTTGACTGGTCCCACTGTTTTAGTTGCAGATTGGTGAGGTAGTGAAGTGGCTGCCCATACTTTCTTCATTGATTTGGCTAAACCTTGCCATGTATCGAAAGGAATCACTGATCCACCCATGGTTGGTATTTCGATCTCTTTCATGTAGTCTTTGATACATTTGGGCATGCCTCATCATTGCATCTGCACTATAGAAAAGCATGTGTTACAATTACAGTTGAAATGGATTATGTGAAGACTAAGTTGTATCCTATGTTAAGTTATGTTTTATTATAATTTAATCAAAATTTGTTTCCGTCTATTTATAATTGAATTTATCTTGTGTATAAATAATATTTAGTTGGATTCCTGTTAACCTATTTCTTAAAAAAATCTGACGAGTCTATATACTTTGTGACTTGAATTTGTTTAAACAAAAACAATTTGAACTTGATAAACTAAAGGTAACTTTGTGTCCATTTGTGAAAATTGTTAGTCCTGTTTCCATCCTACTAGGACTGTTTACCCGAGCCGACGGATAGGAAATAGTAGATTCCATCTTCTGAGTTGATAAATTGTGGAATGTCAGTTTTTTGGTCGACCCTATCTGATCGAGGGTAATGTTCCGAACCAAATTCATTCAAAAACTCTACTCGGAAGTTGGGTGGCAATGCGAAATATCTCACATATTTTCAGTTTTTAAGTTATTAGTTTTTTTGGTTATTTTAACATCTCAATTATCAAAATTTTGGGTTACTTTCACAATTATGCTATTAAAATATAATAAAAAAACATGTAAACCAACACAATAAACCAATAATATTAAAAAAACACAATACATCCAATAATATGAGCATATAAAATGACGTCATTTTATACCAAATATATTATTTTATTAAAGAAATTAAGTATATGTGCGGATGGAGTGGGAATGCAAAATTTTTATGAGTATTCTGCATTGTTATTCGCAGTTTTGCGAAATACTAAAATTTCTACCATTAGCAATAATATTAAAAAAAATATAATAAATTCGATAATATGAGCATATAAAATGACGTCATTTTATACCAAATATATTATTTTATTAAAAAAAAATTAAGTATATGTGTGGATCGAGTGGGAATGCAAAACTTTTATGAGTATTTTGCATTGTTATCCGCTGTTTTGCGAAATACTAAAATTTCTACCATTAGCTAGTCGAAGTTTTGCAAAATTCCAACAATTAGATAGAGTCGAACAAGAAAGATGCAAAACGATTGGGTGGATAGAATTTTAAACAGCCCTACATTCTACCAAACAAAAAGGACATGGATAATTGTGCGGACAAAATTGGACACCAATTGATAATTTTTGTAAGAACTTTTATACACAAATTACTAGGTATATTAATTTCATGTGGTTCACTAAAATTGGGTATTATAATAAAATTATGAAAACTAAAATATAGTTTTGATCCTCATTGACTCATAATTTTTGGTGCACCCTAAAGATAACAACTAAACAAGTCTTCAATGATGAAACAAAAAGGATTTCTAGAATAAGACTTCTGTATTCTGAAACTAATAGATATGCATTGACTAGTCAATTTCAAAGCAGTAAATGTTAACCTAATTAATTATAAACTAATTAAGGATTAATAATTGTTTGAAATGAAAATAAGAAAATTCATGAAAATGAAGTAGATGGTAAAAACCTGGATCTTCTTTCCATTTCATGCTTTCCCAATAAAATTCCTTTTCAACTCTTTTTCCCTTGTCTCTCCCTTGTGCCTGCGAACTTAAAGACTTGATCCGATCATTAGACTCGGTCCTGAATCTGATGCCAAGGTATGCTGGTATTCTAAAGACCTATTTCTTCGCAACATGTTTGAGACGATGGATAATGATATTAAAAATTCTCGTACTTTACTCTTGTAAGTTGTCTAAGACGATGAATACCCAAATTGAAAAACTAGAGAAACGATGTGATTAGCTCAATTGAAAGAGGGGCGTTGTGTGAATCAAATTCTTCCGTTTCATTTAGTGATCGGATTCATTCAGAATGGAAGGGCATTTCAGTCTTTGTATTCTCCACCACAGTAAGTTCTATGAGACGGTATATATCTAAATTGAAAATCCCTTACTGTCAACTCTCTGAGACGGTGGATACCTAAATTGAAAATTCTTGTATTTTCTGCTAGAGTAAACTAAGTTCTTTGTGACAGTTAATACATGTTTAGACATAAAATATTAAATCTTAGGAATATTCAATGTATTGAAATTTGGTAATTTGGACGCACTAAGAAGATGCCAAGTGACAGAATTTGAAGAAAGAAAAGAGATGATCACTGACAACTATATTTGAAAAGGTGAATAATTAACTAGAAGTTACCGGTTAAATAACATGTGATCAAAGCAAAAATCATCAAAGTTAATGGCTATGAAATGACACATAGTGGGGAAGATGAAAGATACACTCAAACCCCAGCAGGACCCACGATTTGGGCATTTTAAGAGTTGTATTAGATTACTTTTAGGGAGCAGTTATTGCTATAATTAAAATTATTTATTTAGTCTTTCAGCAACGAAAGTACCTTCGAGTGAATTAATAAAACAACTCTCTTTGATTAGTTCCATGTACTGTGTGTTTATTTATTAATTTCATTCAAGAAAGTCATGAAAGA